AAGGCAAAATTAGAATAAATTACTATTTTTAAAGAAAATATGAATAAATTAATGAAGCAGTCTCTAAATATTTTTGAAAATAAGTTTGACCGCTTCTTTAAATATATTTGGCCAATACGAACTGACATCAAGTCACATGGAATTGTAGCTACGGGTTTTCCCATTGCGATGAACTTTTAATCATCAAAAAATATCAATTTTTTCCTGAGTTATAGAACAATTCGTCCGCCCCCTTACACGTTAATTCATAGAAAGCGGAATTCCTGCAGGTAGAGCAGCAGCTGAAATGAAGGGACTTTGAGTGCCATTTTTTCGAAAACTATTGAATTTTTGAAGAAAATGACATGAGTCATTTTTGTAGATAATGAGCTGATCTGATCCGTCTATTTTATGATCCAAAACGAAAGTATGCAAAATTCTCCTGTCATTGAGAATAAATCAACATCTTGCTTCTGTACACATATCCCTTACTGCTAGACCATGACGACATTGACTGTCGAGATTCCAAGACGGCAATTTGATGTGATAATTCGGATCAAGCGCTATTTCAGACTCGTTCTAAAATCTTTAAATACCTCTATATGAGAAATGTTTTGATGCAACAGAACGAGCCTGAAACGACGTTTGGTCCAAATTATCACATCGAATAGCTGTGTACGAATCTCGACAGTGAATGTCGTCAGTTCTAGCAGTAAGGATATTTGTATACAGAACAAAAACGTCTGGGTTTGAATCCCAGAGGCGACTGACTTTTTTTAAAATCTACACGAATGTGTTTTTAAATTATTCTACAAATTTGTTAAAAATGTCTCTTCTAAAAACAAATAGGGTTCTAAGTAAGAAGAAAATATACAAAATCAAAACGAAAAGTCGTTTGAAGCTTCCGTTCTACAGTTATCGTGCCTACATACGTCCTGGGGCCTGTTTCATAATGATACTTATATTATTAGTAAAAAAGTACAAATTACAAGTTACTAATTACAAACTCTAGTAACTTCTTTTTCATAATGCAAATGGCTTTAGTAATATTATTAGTAAGTTTCTACAAGTAAAATTTTACAAATCTACAAGTAATCTGACATTCTAAAAGTGAGGTTATAAACTTATAACAGATAGTTGCTGTAATGTTAGACCTTCTTTGTTAAAAGAAGATCATAGTTGATAATTTTAAAAAAGAGCTGATAAGCAAAACCTTAAACTTTGTGTATTAAGTAAAATAAAAAAAAAAAAAGAAAAATAAATTATTTGGTGCTTTGAGTGATAAAATAAATAAAAAATAGTACAATTGTAGCATGGAAAGAATTGAAGGTATGCAGACCTGTTGCTTAGAAGAAAGTGCTCTACCTTTTCTTGACTGATTTCTGAGTAAAGGTCCTATTTCTTGCAACAAACTCTCTAATTTATCGGACGATATTCTAAATCGTTCAACATATTCATATGCTAATTCAAAACTAAAATTTATGCGGACCCTTTAAATTTTCGTTAAACATCTAAGGGATCTTCTTCATCGCTAGATGAATCAAAAAGTAAATTTTCCATGATAGCATAACACTTCTTTTACCAAAAATTAGTCAATACCAATCAACTCGACTAGTACTATGAAAAATATAGGTAAATAATCATTTGTAACTTGTATTACATTAAATATTAACATTTTTTATAAATACATATTATTATCACGTATTATGAAACAGAACCTGGTAATATTAACTTGTATTTATTATTTTACAAGTAGTGATTTGTTCATTTGTATTTTTTTATTATGAAACAGAAAATTACAAGATACAAGTTACAATACTAATAGTATTAGCTTGCAATTCATTATGAAAGAGGCCCCTGATGAGCAGATGATTTTTTTTTTTTATTTTCGAAAATTATAAAAAGTGAAAGTGATAATTTTTTTTACTTTTTTTCGAAATTGATATGGGTATATAAATACTTACCAACAGCTGTTTTAAGAGCCTTTTCATTGGGAGCTACTGTTTTACTACCAGAAATCGTTTTAAGAACTTTGTAAGCCTTTTTGCAGGTACCATCCTCGGCTGTATATTTGTAGGCAGTTTCTGAGCTAAGGCCGTTTTCTTTTACGTAATCGAAGGCCAATACCATATCACCTCCTTGGCAACCGCTATTCTTTGTGGAACAGTCTACTAGTTCTTGTTCACTAAGTGCTGTTTTCTTGTGCTTGTTGATAGCTAACTGACCTTCCAAAGCTCCAGTCTAAAAAAAAAAATTAGCTAACAGACAATAGCTAAATATTTATACATAAAAATATCATAATTCTCGTAGTATTGAAAATAAGGAGTGTAAACTAAACATATTATATAGTGGATCTAGTCCAGAATTGGTAGAGAAAAATTTTTACAAGAACAAGAATATGTGTTCAAATGATTTTTGTGTTATGTATTAAGTAATTTTTAATAGTTACTCTGGTCATTTACATGAAAACATAAGGCTGATGTTTAGTCAGAACTAAAACCTTCCATAATTAGAGTTGTCTAAGCGGACTTCAAGAAAAAATTTGCACTAAGACTTGAATGTATTCATATGTATTTATAAAAATATAAATTGAGGCCAAATGATATTGAAAGTCGTTTGCATTACACACAAATAGTTACAAACTTAGTGGAAGCAGATCCCAATTTTTCGGAAAAATTTGATAATGAGTAAAAAGAAACAGTTTGCCTTTTTGGTCGTTTTAACAAGCAAAACGATGTTTTGTATTTTTAATCCTTAAGTGCGCGCGCGGGGGCACTAAGTGCTCCGTTTTCAGTAAAAGAGTCATAACTTATTTGATTGGTCTTAATATTGTCATCTAACCTAACACTGGAATGTGCAGTGCCTGTACTAGCGTTTGTGAGTAGTTTGAATAAGGGTGCCTTGAGATATAGATGTACATGAAGCAGACTGCTCCAAAGGTGCACAAAGTGCTCCGGCGCAACCACTTATGTAAGTATTATATTTTTATTATTATTATTATTATTATTTGCTCATATTATTTTGCTAAAATAGTGTTTGATAAACAGTATAAAAAAATTTTCACGGTCCAAAATTGTTGGTTAGAGTTTTTTTATAGGAATAAAATATTGTTATCTATTATTATTTCCAGGGAACCGAGAAATGCGAATAAATTGACCGATGCAGAACTAGCTTATTATTTAGAGAATTATGGAGATGACATTGGTTCTGCAAGAGAGACTGACACCTACTGTATTGAATCTAAAGATTCCCAAGAAGAAATTCTTCATGAGAGTGAGCTTGATAGTGACTCAGGACAAAGTGTGTATCAGAATGTGGAGGAATCTGATGACGAAAATATTGTTGACTCTGACGACGAAAATATGGATGATCAAGACTTTTTTCTTGGAAGGGACAAACAAACTAAATAGTATAAATATCCAATTATTTTTAAATTTAGTAAAATTGGGGCTCAAAATATCATCAAAATTTTACTTGGGCCAACACGTATTGCAAGAGATATTCCTGATGAATCTACAGCTTTCAATAATTTATAGATGTCCAAATGATTGATGACATACTTATGAACACTAACGTATACGTTCGAAATTAACAAACACCGAAATATAGAAGAGAAAGGGACGCCAAGGAAGTTACAAAAGCTGAACTGCTGGCATTTTTAGGCTTACTTTATCTTGCAGGAGTTAAAAAGGCAAATCACACTAATTTTCAACAGATGATGGCACTGGTATTGAAATTTTTCGCAGCTGGATGAGCAACAAAAGATTTTAATTTCTTTTGGGTAGCATTAGGTTTGATGATAATGAGACAAGATCTGACAGACGCAAAATAGATAAATTAGCCCCAATTCGATCTACTTTAGATATGTTTGTAGATAATTTTAAAAAAAGCTATTGTATTGGGGAATTCGTCACAATAGATGAGAAACTAGAACCATTCCGAGGCCGTTGCAGCTTCATTCAATACATACCAAATAAACCCACCAAATATGGTATCAAGATTTTTGCAATGTGCGACTCCAAAACATATTATATGCATAATCTAGAAATTTATTGCGAAAAACAACCAGATGGACCCTATGCAAAGTCAAATGCTCCAACAGACATTGTGCGTAGGTTGTTAGAACCAGTGAATGGAAAGAATCGTAATTTGACATGCGATAATTGGTATACTAGCATACCACTTGCAGAAGTTCTTTTCAAGGATAAAATAACACTGGTAGCTACATTTAAAAAGAACAAAAGAGAAACTCCTCCTGAATTTTTGCCAAATAAAAACAAGATTGTGAAAAGTTCAATGTTTGGATTTTAAAAAAATATAACCATGATATCCTATGCCACGAAAAAAAAAAAATAAAGGAGTTATTCTAATTTCCACAATGCATAATGACGCTGCAATGGACCAAAAAACAAACAAATCATATTCTGTTTCAAGAATAACTAGAAGGTGGCCTTTAGCTGTATTTTTTTCACTGCTGAATGTAGCAGGAATTAACGCCCAAATTATCTATAATGCCTCTTATTCCGAGTCACCACAACTAAGGAGAATCTTTTTGAAAAACCTGACTTTCTAAAATATATTTTTATTATTTTTTTTTATAGAATTTATTTTATTTTATTTGTTCCATTACATTTCTCTTTTATGTTTTTTTTTTTGTTGTTTTGTAATAGGAATAAAGTTACCTGAGTATATATTTTATTTTGATATTACATAAGAAATGTATTTTTTTTATGTTATGCATTTTTTTATGTTAGAATGTAAGTATGCTAAATAAAAATAAAAATAAAAAGTATACATCTATAACATTTTGAATCGTATTATAAAATTGAACGTAAAGTGCACAAAGTGCTCCCCGCGACTACTTATGTAAAAAAAGTTGGCGCGCCTACTTAAGGGTTAAAGATTAAGTTGTGAGTAATTTCATATTATCTGCATAATTCTAAGAGTAATTTAACACTGTAATAAATAAAGAAGAAACTAATTATTTAATAATAATATATTTTAAGTTATATAATACTTACTGTACTAAATGCCCAACAGCTTCCACATTGTCCTTGATCTTTAACTGCTAATACAGCGTTGTCTCTCCAATCTTTTTCCTCGTCAACTTCTACGTTTCCTGGTTCATACAGGGTACTATTTAAATGCGGTCTGTTGGAAATTTGTTTATTTAACATTGCCATAAATTCTTCTGATGTCATGTCAGCAAAGTGATTAACGGCCAAGTAATAAGATACTTCGCCCTTTTCATATTTAGCATTATGCTCTTCAATTTTTTTCAAATTATTTTTGAAGATGTTGAAGCGCAAATGTTCTTCCCTGATGTTTTGATAACTTTTGGAGTGAGTGAGCTTAAAATATAAGTTATTTGGTTATATAGAAACTATGTAAAGGAATATTTAGTTTATAAAAATATATGTTAAGTTATAAAAAGAGGTATGGTAAAAAATTAAATATACCTTAAAATTGGACCAAGATTCGTGATGCAGAGTGGCGTTGATGACCACTATAAAGGCGGATAATACGACTAGAAGTTTCATTTTTTTAATCTTTTTCTGAAAAACTAACACAAACTTTTGATTTTCATATATTTACTTAAATACTATGGAATTACTTAAATACTAGGTCATCACTAAAATACCACAAAATTACTAAATTACCAGATATTTACCGAAATACTAGCAAATTACTAAAATACTATGTAATTACGTACTAAAAAATCAGAAAATTACTAAAATATACTAGAGAATTGTTTAAATATTACGATAATTAAACCATAAAATATTTAAAAATGACAAGATGGAACTATCGTCTATTGGTGAATATTCTAAATGATCTAAACATTGTTTTGTAACTAAAACTCACACAATAGATTTAAAATAATCGGAAGAGTAACTATTAATTTATTTAATTATAAAAATAGATAATTGTTTATAAAATATAAAACTAAAAAAACATAAAAAAAAATTTTAAATATTAGCAATTAAAAAAATAAATAAATTTATTGACTACTTTTAATTCCGTCAGTTAAAAATGAGATATTTTGATCACAACTTACCTTTAAAATAACTATTTCAGAAATAATAAATATTGCATTAAATGCCTTAAATATATATAGGAAAGAATGCTCTTGAATTAAATCGCAATAACCTATTGATATAGTTTTGAAGTAGGCCCTCACTATTTTTTTTTTAATAGTTATCTAAATTATCACTGACGCGTATTGTTTTTTTTGTGTAGAGTGTTCTGACTAGTCATTATTGACTAATCTACAATTTTAAACTAAAAATCTTCTAAAGTATCTACTTATTGTATGAAATAGGTAAAATGAAGTGAGCAAAACCGGTTGGAATCTGAAAAACTGAAATGCAATTTTGGAAAAATGAAAACAAACCAGCCAAAAATTGAAAAAATTAATTCTTAGTCTATTTTTTTTTAATTTGTTTTCACTTTGGGGATATAAAGGGGAACTTTTCATAATTTCGTAGGGAAAATTGGAGATTATTCATTTTCATATTTCAAAAATTGTACTTATTCAAAACGCACACAGGCCATTCTGCCTTATTACCTGGATATAGTCTAGAGAAGATAATAGTGAAGTAATTTAATTTTCAGAACGTAGTACAGGTTCAAGAGGTACACATTATATTCATACCTTATCCTTTAATGATTATTTGTAGTCATAATGAAAATTTAAAACCATCTGATTGGCCTAATAAAAGATTTTATTTAGACTTAGTCATGTTTTCATGGTCTTTAGTGTAATAAACCTTTTTTTTGACAGATAAGTCAGACTTTATTTATTTATAGCCGTATGGTATGTATTTTAATTGATTTAGAAATTTGTATTAGTATATTTTATAATTTTACAGTTTTATAAAAATAACGAGTACATTAGAGAATATATTGCATCAGAAGTACGCGTAGTGGACATAGAACATTATCTTTAGAAGAAAAAAATATCGTACTTACTGTATTAAATAATCTTCGAGAAGAATTTGTTTTACTTTCTGTGGACAAAATGGCCACTTAAATTGAGACTTAAGCTAAATAAGTATCTAAGTGGACAGTGTATTACATTATTATAGAAGATACAGTTATTGTAGAAGTTCCACATCTTAAAAATTTTCCTGGAAGGAACAAGACATTTATTAAAACTTAGCTAAAGAAGGTAAATAGTACATTTTTTTCTCTTTCGAAAATAAATCAAAAAATTACACTTAGAAATAGAAAATAGCCCCCCACTCTTCCAACTATATCATAATTTCATCTGCAAAAATATATTACATAAATTAAATTTTCGTTAAAAAAAGCATGAGAGAAACAGCTTTTTAACAGAAAAAGACGAAATCATTTCGTGGAGACATGATTATTTAAGGAAATAAGCGGACAAACAGGTATTTTATTTAGATAAAACATGGGTTAATGCTGGACATACAGGAAAAAAAATTGGCAAGATAACTGAATCAAAACTAAAAAACAATACTTTATGGAAGAGGTCTCCTATGGATTAAAAAATTCAACAGGAAAAAGAAATCGTTCAATAATAATCTACATTGGAAGCACCGATGGATTTTTTCCAGATGGTTTATTAATGTTTAAATCAAAGAAAACAGAAGACTGCCATATAGAAATGGATGGCCCTATGTTTGGAAATTGGTTTCAGAACATTATAAAAAAAATCCAGCCAGCTCTGTTATTGTTTTGGATAATGCATCTTATCACAGTCGATTAAAGGAGTCACTACCTACAACAAGATGAAAAAAAAAAAAAGATATTTTAAAATGGCTTTATTCTAAAAATATTATCAGTCCTCCTAAATCTTTGAAGAAAGAATTACTCGTAATAGCAAGGCAATATAAAAACAAATTCAAAACATATATTCTACGAGCCCTGGTTCAATGAAGTTGGCCCAACTATCAAAAATCATGTTTTTTAAAGACATTTGCCATATTATCGAAAAACGTATTACTAACTGTAATATTTCTAATAATATATGATATGTTTAATCACTTTTAGCCTAAAATACAATTTTTTTTTTGTAACAGAAAAAATGGGATAAATTCAAAAAACTATCGATTAAAAAAATTGACGAAACCAAATAACAGCAAACAACCACTGAGTTGCATTGCCTTTTCGACTGATTACTGATTTAATATGCCTTGAAATAGTGTCAACTAATGTTTGGCACTCATTTGATGTACACTGTTACAAATTTCTTAAAGACGGGTTCGTAATTCTGAAACGGTTCTTGCGGGATTTGATCGGAGCTCTTTTTTCATGATATGCCACAGCGTTTCAATAGGCGATAGATCTGAGCTAATGGATGTCCATTGTAATAGTGTGGTATAGTGTTTTCTAACATCCAATCTTTTACTTTTTTAGCCATGCGACAAGCGGCACCATCTTTTTGGAAGATACATTTGATATTATTTAAAATTATTTGTTCAAGTTTGTGTTTTAAGTTATTTTGAAGCATATTATTATACTTATCAGTATTCGTAATACCTTCCACAAAGTGTAAGTTTTCTCACTCCTTTAGCTGATATGGCTCCCCAAATCATAATACAAGCCGGAAACTTATCTTTCTTTCTAAGACAGTAGTTCTGAATTACTTCTTCTTTTGTTTATTATGACACGAGACCTACTATCACCAATACATAGTTTAAATCTGGCTTCATCACTCCAAATAATGGAGTTCTATTGGTTAGGATACCATAATTGATGTTCCTTTGTCCACGATAGTCGATTTTTCTTCTAAATTTTTACTGAACAAAAAGCAAAAATTATTCAAGCATACCTTGTAAGTTTTAAATCCCAGTTGTTTTTATAATTAGCATGCCGATTTTGCCTGATTATCTTTTTAAAGCTCTTAAGTTGGCATTGGAATATTGCGGATGACTTTCAGTTCTCGGTTTTTGAGCCACAGATCCAGTTCTTTTGTACAGTCTAATAATATTTCGAACTGTATATCTCGATTTATTAACACTGTCAGTGATTTGGGAAGCATTTTGGTCCTTCAAATGCAAGTGAATTATCACTTTTCTTATTTCTTTAGAAACAGCTTTACCACGAGCAATTTTTAGTTGTTAACAACAACACCAATGTACAAAAGTTAACTAAAACTTCAAAATCGGCTTTTTAGCAACGTCAAATATTATCATTTGTTTTACAAAGCCTAACTTGATTTTATTGTAGCGGATAAACCGACTATTCAAGTCAAGTTGTCTCCATCGTGTATTTTGCCAAACATAAATCATTTTACAAATAAAACAATTTCGAAATAAAGACTCTTTAAAAATAGCCATGCTAATTTTGTTACATTAACATAAATATTTAAACATAACAAAAATATTATATTGGCACGAGAAAAAGTAACCGTATTGAATTAAATCCCATTGAACTGATCTGGTCACAATTAAAAGGTTATGTTTTTCGAAACCATATAACATTTGAACTACCTAAAATTTGATTTTGAAGGCAATTCCAGATGTAAATGGAGAACATTGGAGATCATGCATTGATTATTTTAAAAAGGTAGAAAGTTCATTTTGGAAAGTGGATATCGCAAAAGAAAACTTAATAGACTCTATAATATTAATCATTAGAAAAAACAATGATATTGATATTAGTAGTTTAGTAGTTATAATGAAAAGAGTAACTTTTAAAGATAATTCTTCAACTTTTTTTTTTAATCTTTGAATTTAAGTACTGAAGTGGTAATTTTAGTACCAAGAGATTAAAAAAGTTTAATCCCATTAACAACACAATCCTTCTTTTTATTTATTGGTAAAATTTAATTCGTTTAATGTTAAAGTGCAACAATTTTGTTTTAATTTTTTTCAAATAATATAACTTTTTTCAATTAAAATTTAACCTACGAAGTGCATGCATTTTATTATAGAAACTTTTTTTGCAAAGTACGCCTATGCAATGTAACGTTCTATCCCCACTTTTACTGCACTTCACTTTTATTCGAACTATAGTATAATTTAAAGAATTTATATTCCCTTTATCAGTTTTTTATAGTTGCTAGGTATTGTAATATGCAAAAAATAAGTAAATTTCTTATTGTCGATCATAATGTCATGTTCTATTTAGATACATTTCTGAATATCGGGAAAGTGCGCACCAGTAAAAGTTGATTGTTACTCACTTTTCCGTTGTAACAATTTTGTAGGTTAAGTGCTCTTCTTTTGTTTTTTTTTTTTTCTAATCATAAAGTTAAAATAAAAACAACAATATATTTAAATGCTTGAATTATTACTGTAAAAGAATTTATAATAAAACTTACTAGAACATACAAATTGTTTAGAATGATTCCATTGTTAATTAGAACCACCTTTTTACTGTACATGTGCATAAACTGTAATATGCCACTGCCACTATAAGTCAACGATCAACTTGACTGGTATGGTCAGACCGCTCGCTAGGTGATGTAGTCGAAACTGTCTAGTTCTAATTTGTAAAATTCATGATTAACTAACTGAAAATTACAAGACCAGGCAGTCCCCCCTGTTTCCTGTGTTCTGTCAGTCCCTCGACACATTGACAGTTCTAAAGAATGCGGTAAATTCAATTAGAAGGCATTTAAAAAAATGACATGAACAGCAGAAAGACAAATAAACATTATGGCTATTTTTTAGTTTGCTTTTCAAACTGATGAAATTTCATTAATAAATAATTATTTTGAAAGTGTAAATTCAAACATCAACATCTTGAATAGGAAAAATTCTTGTAAGCATAGCTTTTCCGCCTATTTTAGAGTAACTGGTGACTAATTCTGTAATAATCTTACATAATATTTGGTTTTCAGTATACAATAGAACATTTCAGAAGTCCAAACAGCGAAAGAAAAATTACATAAATATTATTGGAAACTATCCTGATAGTGTTTTTACTGAACACTTTCGAATGAGTATTGAGGTAGGAAGGAACATTTGAGGTAGGTATTTCAAATAATTTTAAAGTATTTTATTTTACCATGTTATGTTTCAGAAGCTATTAACGGTTATCACTACAAATGGGAATATACAGAAAACATATGTACTTTATCATATACAGCTTCTAATGACACTGTTGATTTTAGCTACTGCAGATAGTTTAAGAAGTTTTGGCAATTTTATATTATGTAACCACATTAAAACGAATTTCTATT